GGTGAGCCTCTGCAACTTCTGCAGCTGTCACAGATAGGGAGCCTGAGCCCCTGCATCTTCTGCACCTGTCGCAGTTCGGGAGCCTAGAAGCTGCCACTGCCCAGCCCGGATGGAGCAAGTGTAGTTGGTAGGGGGGGGTGGCTAGTACTAGTACCGACGGCAGCAGGAGTAGTAGCGGTGTCGCCTCTGCAGGACCAAATCAAGTATATACAGCTGCCTATCCGCAACAATCCATCATAGCCGTCGACGCCGCAGGCAAAGCTGAATAAAGAAGATCGGCATGATCGGATGAGATTGTGCATGAACAAGTTTTGTCGGCTGCACGATAGTATCTGAGGCGCTGTTGAATGAAAGCGGAAACTGGCACCTGCCCTCTGCAAGGAAGGATTCAAACACTCGCAGATTCGCAAAGATGGGCACAAATAGTTCTACTGCTACACTGACGATGTGAAACATACGGTTGAAATATCGACCATATTGAGGATGGATCTCGTCAAAAATGAAAATCAAGTGCTGAACGCACCGAAAACTTACCGGACGAGTTTGGAGCCTGCTTGAGTAGCTTGACTTTGTCAGCAACCGTCCCAAGAGACTCCGTTTGGCCACTGGCTTTGCCAGCGCATCACCACAGAACAGGGGCAGCGTCAATTGCTCCTGATCTTGAGCGCGTGTCTTCCCAGTGCTCTCTTTAACCCTTGCCCATACTGAAGTCTTCAGTGATGCCTCGAGCTGCTAGGCTCTGTTTGGGCCCTCAGTCCTGCGCCGTACTCCAGTTTCACGAACTCCGCAGGCCGTGGACCCGGCTGGTGAAGAAAGCCAAAGAATGAGGCTCTGCACTTCCTTGGCTTCTGCTGTCCCTCCCGTGACTCTATTCATTTCACTTACGAGTATGGCAACCCACACCTGAAATGATGCAGCTGCAGCCGTAGCATCCGCATCCAACTTCCGACGAACGCTGGCACAAATCTGATTTAGCGATGCGCTGTCTAACGAGTTCAACTCTTTCGTTGTGCCTTCGTGAACGGCGTTCAAAGGCATCACGATGTGCGATCTGCTTGACCCCACAGTCAGGGCGAGACAGAAGTGGCAATCCTGAGATGAGCGCCGGAGCCAGCTCTCCGGAACTGGCTCCAGCAGAGTCCAGCCAGCGCCCTTCAATTTTGGCGTCAGCAAACATTTGGCAGCTTCAAGGACTGGCTCCGATGTCTTGGCTGGAAGCGGCTCCTTTTCGCAGCCCTCAGGCCCTTCGTACATGAAGGCTGTCAACGCAAAATACTCCGTTTCCGGTGATGGGCCTCGGCCCAGCCACTTCGCAGGCTGACCACGGGCAGCATCTCCGTCGTTTTCGCTCACTGACTTCTTGACCCTGGTATCCTCGGATTTTGCTCTCGGCGTGCCCGTAGCCGCGCTGGCGAGTCCTGAAGACTATGTGAGCACACCAGAACATGTAGCCACATCTATCTGCTAGCCCTTGCGGACACATGTGCAACAACTCCTTGGAACTGATGAAGAAGCCGGCGAGCAAACGACTTCGGGCGCCCACGTGCACTCGCCGGTGGCTCAGCAGGCGGACGAGGGGTGCCTACTTCGACATGACCAATGTTGAGCTTGTTCCTCGTCTTTTCCTGGCGAGAGTGCTTCGGGCGGGCATACCCTTTCTGTCCCTGCTAGGCACATCAGAAACAGTGAGATCCTGATCGAAGCGTAGGACACACAGCCAAGGGGGAAAGTTGGGCAAAGCCCGTGCGACATCATCTGCGAGCCAGTCGACCACAGACTCCAGAGATGAATCCTCGTTCGCAAGGCCAACAGATGGACTCGAAACAAAACCAGGTGCCAGATGCGAATATTTGCCGAGTGCCAGGCCAGAGTATGGAAATGCCAGGTGGTCTTGCCCGGGGACGGCTCGGCGTTTTGTTCTGGGTGCAAGACCTGGATCGAAGTCACGTTCTCCTGGAAGGAACATCAAGAAAGCGGTGACATTCACTTCTATTGCAGCATGTGCACTGGACCATCCTCCGCGAAGTCTTGCAGAAGGCTCTTCGAGAGCCGAGATCCGAGTTTTGCCGTCAAATCCTGGGAGACACGGGCATGTTCGGATTCTTGCAGACTTGCGACAGCTTAAACTCACTCTGGGACGAGACCCTTCGGCCACTTCAGCTTCGGCAAAGCGTCCCCGAAGACCACCAGAGTGAGCCGCAACGTGGCGTCTTTTGCAATGGGATCGGGCAGCGATGCCGAGGAAAGAAAAATGTCGCCCACGGTGCCCGCGCGGCCGAAGCGGAGGGACTCGAGCTTTGGGGCACCAGGCAACCCGTCTGAGAAGCGGCTGAAGGCAAAGAGCTGCAGCGCCAGTCCTGAAAATCAAAAGCCCGCCATATGTGCATTTGGAGCTTGTAAGCATGTCACACCAAAGAAAACAGCTGCATTCAAAGACACCAACAGGGTCGGCTAACGATGGTTGCCGCTCCGCAATCGGCAGACCGAAGCCCAACTCGAAACGCCGATGGAAGACCGGAGCACCTAGTTGGTTGAGCTCTGTTTCCGTCTCCTTATCTTGGGGATGTCTTTTCCCGAACCCAGAATCTAGCGTTCTCAGGATCTCTTCAGGTTGGCCTGGGTTTGCTGATAAGACCGTTGAAGTTCCGGATCTCCGCGGATTTCTCCCTACGGCTCCATGGTTTCTTCTGCATTCTTTGTGCCCGCAGATTTCCTTTCCGGAATATTTTTCATAGGAGATATCTCAGACCTTCAAGTCCGCACGACTGCTTCTGTCTTGAATGTCTCGGCAGATGAAACTGCAGAGGACACGAGTTTGTCCGCTATCCTTGGAATGGCTCCGAAGATGAACGTAAACAGAACCGCAAAACTCAATCTGTTGGTACTAAGAACGAAATGCAATACAAGCCTGACAGCTCTTTCATTCATATCAAGCAAGCCCTGGGTCTGGTACAAACAACAACCTTTCGCACGCCTACGATTACAAGAATGCCAGCGAATCCAATGAGGGAACTGACCACCCGAGAGCTGCCTAGAAATCAACCATACATTCTTCAAAATGCGGCTTCAGTTTCGCACCAGGAGGCTATCAGCATCACAAAGAAGAGATCAGGTTCTACACTCGGCCGCGTGCTTGCCAGTCGAGGCACCGGTGTCCGCATTGAACACGAGGAAGCCGCCAAACATTGCCCTGCCCTGTAAAGACTTTAGTAAACAGTTTGGTGCAGGGGGCCTGGGATGTCGGGTGTATCTGAGATGCTCTCTTCCGTTCCACTGAACCAATATCAGCGGTAAGCCCGCGGGCAGGAGAGTTTCACGCAGCTTTGGTATGAGACAGCTGTGAGCGCACTGCAAAACGCAAAAGCACTGATTCGCAAACATGCTCAGCGCTTTTGCAGCCTCAGGCTGTCGGCGAGGCGGGCAAAAGGCGAAGGCGCTCTTCAAGCGTCCACGTCAACGACGGAGCACTGGATACTTTACATGGCGCAGCTGGTGCATGGCTTCAAGGCACTGTGCCTACAGAAAGTTCATGCCAGCCTTGGCTTTCTGCATGCCAGACAATGCTTGAATGACATCATGCAAACAACTTGTTGATGCAGCCAGGCAGCCAAATAACGGAGTTGCTCGAAGCACATTAAAGAAATCGTCGTGTGAGGCCCAAGCCTCATCCACTGCATGTTGAAGCCTCGGAATAAGGCTCCAATGCCTTCGGCAGCTGCAGTTTTCCTCCAACAGTCCAAGGTGTTTGTGTAAAGCGCGCCACGCCGTGTCCTAAGCTTCAGGCTTCAGCTGGATTTTCCCGCTGACAGCATGGCAAAAAACAAAAAGCAACGCCTGCCGAGAGACTCCGGGTCCAGGGGCTGCGACATGATCCGACTCTTTGCCAAGTCGACGGGGCTTGTGACTGCCGCTGCAACAACCCCTGCCAGCATGCTGCATGCAAAGTGGCACACATAACCTGGCACAGCATTGGGCAGGCGCGCAGGCCATGTCCGCATGTGCACCATGACTTCCCAAAGTCTCACCAAGCATTGCAGACAAGAAGCCCTCGCGCACGAGGCCTGCAAAAGAATCTGCTTTTTATTCTGGTGCAGAAGTCCTGCTGTGCCTGCCCGCCGGCCTACATCGAGAAGAGTGTGCTTGGCATGGTCATAGCTGGGTACCTGAAGAGATGTATCAAGCTCGCAACCTGTTGCCCGGAGGTTGAGGTGTTCTGATGGCCTGGGAGGCCGTGAGCAAGGTTGCCCTTTGCACAGTGGGGCCGGCTCCACGCCAGAGTCCGCGGAGTCCTCCGCTTTGGACGATGCTGGTAAACTCTTCGGTCACCTGAGCGACTCAGGCTCGAGCGAATCTGCATAAACGATGGCGTGCACTACATTCACTACATGCCCAGTTCGGAGAGGTCGCAGAAGCCGGAGTTTCATGTGCGCCTCCTCCTTGCATTCGTACCTTGAGCAGGTCGAAGGGATTTGCAATCACGGAGCCGATGGCACCTAGCGCTCCGTGAACATTCGGCAAGATGCGGGCAGCGGGTTTAGGGTTTCGACTCACACACTCGCACAAGGCTGGCATGGCAAGAAGGTCCCGAGGTTTAGGGTTTAGGGTTTAGGGTTTAGGGGTTTAGGGTTTCGACTTTAGGGTTTAGGGACTGTGACTCGCCTGTGATTGCACCAGCCAGGATCTTGACCACCAGCGGCGAAGTTCTTTGCCTCTTCTCCTGTTGGCCTGGTCTCCGCACCCGAATACAATGAGAACTCGTGGAGCCCAGAAACATCCAAAGCCAGCTTAGCCCAGACCCGACCTGCAAGAATGGCTGGAGATTATGGATTCAACATGCTCCGGCTTGGGACTTCGCGTGGCTCGCACACATGCAGTTCTGAGAGCTATAGAAACCAGTCCTCCTCTACCTGCCAGCGTCTCACGGACAGGCTCGTAAAGGCCCATCCGCATGCCACTGTAGGACAGCTCTCGCAGAATTGACGGTCGCAGTCCTGAGCAGCGAATACATGTTCTGGAGCATTCACGACATGCAGCGCTGTCAGCAACACCAAAGCAACAACCGAGTGGTATCCGGCACTGGATCTTCAATACAGAACTCCACTCTGCTGAAACCGACATGAGCGGTGTTTTGGATGCTCCTCTGCTACTAGTAGCGCTCTGGGTGCTGTGTTCGCGTGCTGTAGTTTTACCTGCTGTCGCCTGCCGTGGCTTCCTAACCCCTCAACTTGCACGAAACCCTTGACTAAACCTGCTTGCATGGTACAATTACAGGCGCGCGGGGAGCCTTTAGGTTTTTAGCTTTCTCTGCTTTGATTTTCGAAACGGCGTGGCATCGTGCAGCCATGAACAAATGGTTTCTAGAGCATGCGAAGCTTTTTGTGATGCGGAGAGTTGGTTTATGCCTGCGGGTTTCAGCTCCTATTTCGCGATTTTAAGGATGCTCAGCAGATATAAAGCTACGAACAAATCCGCACGAGACACGCAAAGGCCGGGAACAGAAACGTGCAAACTGCTGCAACGCACGCACTCATGCACTCGCCTCGCTGCAAGCCAGTGGGGCCCTCCTGTTGCCAGAGTTTTCGGCCGGCTCCCAGCACCGTCTGGGCATTGCAGCTAGTGATCTGGGAGACGCCCGCCAACTGCATGCGCACCTCCAACGCTCGAGAGTTACAACTCTTCGTCCTGCCGAATACCCAGGGCCCAGGCCTTCACCACATCGACCGGATTCGTGAAGCAAGCAGCAATTGCCTCTGTGCTACATGTACACAAATAGCTCTGCAGGATTTTGCTATGAGAAGATCGACTTGACTCGGCGCTTGGCTGAGTGCATTCAAGTTACGTTGCTGACGCCTGCCAAACCTACTTGCTGCAAGGCTGCTGCAGAGGCATCCGGCATAATCAAAGCAAGCCCAAGTTTGTGAAGCACACGGTGTCTGGACTGACTTCGGTCACTGCCAGCACCATATTGCACCTATCCTGAATACGTCGAGATGTCCGTCTTCTGCTGTCTTTGCTTGCAGCGCGTTGCTCAGCGCAGAAATGCTGCAAGTAACTTTTCACATCAAAGTGCAACAGGGTGCAACATCTGTGCTGTCTCGAAAGCTTCAACTGCATGGTGTGGATTTGCGTCGGCTTTGCGATGGGGCTTCTAGAAACAAGCTCAAACTATGTGCTACAGTAGAGAGTACGGGAGGTGAGCGCAGTTGAAGTCTTGCTGCACCATGGACGGCTGAGATCTGCGGTGTGAACTGATGCAATGATGCGGCCTTCGGCCTTCTGGCGAGAGACTGGCAAGGCCACTTTGATGCTCTCGGAAGTCTGTGTCCTCTGAGACTTCACCCTTGACAAGATCGAAACCCTTTTTGCAACGGGACTGTTCGTTGAAGGAACGGTCGTAAGAGCAGGCTGCACTTGTTGGCATCACCAGTAAAAGCAAAACTTGTGAGTTGCGCCATAGTGCTAAGGAGCTACTCTAAGTCTGCTAGGCTCACATCCGCAAGCTCCTCGAGGTCCAAGGCCTGCCCAGGTGGAAGAAAGTAAAGTCTGACGCACACTTTGGGTACGATTGAAATTTCTGTGCGTGGCTCACTTCGGTTTCTTGTTCGTGGCTACTCGTCGGGTCCCGGACTTGTCCCGCTCAGCTGCGAGAGCATCAGCCCCAACACTGTACCGCGACTCTTTGTGCACGGTGGTCTAACACGGATTCGCACAGGGCCCAGTCCGAGCCCATGAAAGCCAACGTCAAGATGGACTACATGAGTGGGCAAGAGTGAGCCCGTCGAAACTGAAGTGCACAACCACGGCAACCACGCACCAGGACCGAACGAAGCACATAGCCATTGATCTCACCAGCTCCGGTTATGGAATCGGTGATCAATGCCATGGCTGCAAGAATCATGGACGTGAGTAGCGGGTTGTCGTTGTTCACGAGCAAACCAAGTGGGGCCATCAAGGTGGGAGGTGTGTCGTCTTCGGAAGCGACAACTTGCGCCTCCCTCACCCTGACAGCTGCTAAATGTCCGCCTAAGACACGCTCCTCGTCCGTGAGCTCATCTACCAAGGACAGGTCCACCCCAGTCTTCAACAACTCTCGCAGCATCGCCGCAGCGCTGCTGACTCGCAAGTCTCTAGAAGTTCCCCGACCAAAGGCGCAGCCCACTGCTGGGCTTGTCGGGTCTGTCTGCCCCATCGCAGCATGCGCGCCGAGGCTTGCGGCTGCTGCTGCGAAGCCGACAGCCACGAGCGCACTACCTCCTGTCACCACGGTCCCAGCTGCACCAGCTGCAAGTCCTGCAGCGCAGTGGATTGCCTAAGAGTTTAATAACAATGCCCCGTTCCCCGAAGAAAGGCGACTGGTGCAGAGCATGATCGCATGACAACAAGCATGGCGCAAACAGCGCAAGTCAACCTCACAGCGGATAAGACCCCTGTGAAAATAATAATAATAATAATAATAACAATACTAATCCTAATAATAATAATAATAATAATAGTAATCATAAAAATAATAGTAATAAGAGCCTCAGAGAAATCCCTTTGAGCCGGCCTAGGCTTGCATAGGCCTCCCTCCGTGCTGCTGCGCTCACCGCTGGCTTCGATGAGTCGAGGCCAAGCGTGGACAAGGAAGACACGCTCCTCGGCCCCGGGCCCCATCAAAAGTTCCCCCCTGCATACCCCTAAAGGAATCAAAACCCCGTCTCTTCCCCACCATCTCTTCAGAGCTGCGAAAGGGATTCTTCGATCAAGCCAGCCAGCTCGGAGCTGAACTGCTCATCAAACGGACGGCGAAAATCTCGCAATGTGAGCATCAAACCTGGGCTCCAGAACGTCAAGTTGCTCAATGACTTGGACGCAAGGGGTAAAGAAGGCTGCTGGAGTCCGGAAGATCCAAAAGTCTGCAACTAGGCTTCGGGGCGAAACCAAGCTCACGAGGGAGCGGCTGCAACATGGCTGTACCAAGAACTAGACTTGCAAACCCGCCTAACACGAGGCCAAGGCTGGTCGAGAGAGCCAAGCTGCAGCCCAGCTCCTCGGACACTGACGCCCGGTGGCCGCAGACATCTCTGCCAATGTGGCTCTTCAAGGAATCGGCGACCACACGGACAGCCTGTCGCAGCCAACGAGCTGATGACCCCTGCATGAGAAAAGGACCTGTGCAGGAGTGGCGCTGTAGCATCCACCTCTTCCGGGGAGAAAGTTGGGGCACCTGACAAGATCCGACCGTGACTTTGAGGTCACGTCTGTGCAGACTCTTTCATGACAAACCCCTGCCCGTGACAAGCATGCAGAAATCCACCTGCAGCCTCGCAGGCTGCCAGCAGCAAGGACTTTGCCTGCCCAAAGTTCGGCGCGCTGACGATGACCTCCGTCGTCCTGCGTCGCAGCTTGGAACTTGGAAACCTCAAAGGAAGATACCCGGACTGAAGCACAACCTTTCCAAAAAGAGCCACAACCCTCAGTGACAGCGCAGGTCCTGGAATCCAACCCATCGAAGAGAGAAAGGAGGTGCGAGCCTTTCAGCTCGAGCTCCTCAATCTCTGGGCTCCATACCTCGAGAGCTCCGACGAAGTGCAGGGAGGCACCCCTTTGCCCTGCCATGGGGACCGGACGAATTCGTTATCATCGTCCTCATCGCCGTCCAGAGTCCTGGAGAGGTTCAGCAAGGCGTCCCCGAGTCTAGCAGGAAAGTCACTCTGTGCAGGAAGGCAGTCCAGAGTCTGGCAAATCGCACACCATTAACTTCAGGCATGGGTTGGACCACGGAAGCATCTGCTGACGCCAATCGCACCGGCCATGGCGAGCAAACAATGCTACGTCTTCTTACAACCTCAGTGGTGACAGTGCTACCTGCTACCCACACTCGGTGTTCTATCCCAGCGATTGGCTCCAGGAAAGGGTCGGGCTGACACAGATAGACCGGTTAAGACATGCATTTCGCATCTCTTGTCTTCCTGCACACGGTGGCGATATGTGGGGTTGTCCTTTCAATGCATCACGACCTTTAGCTGCTGCCAACCTTGTCGGCGCAAGCCTTGTCGGTGGACCAATATACCTGCGGCAGCAAATTTCAGAGAAGGTCGCTTTCCATCCACTGTCTCACAGGGCTCACCTGCATCTGCTTGATGCAGCGGGCCAAGCCAGGCCTTACCAACAGCCATCTCCAGCGTCCAGGGCAGCATTCACTTCGATAGCTGCAAAGATCCGGGCTTTCCGGGAGCAAACCCCATTGGCTCGAGCACCTTCGAAAGGCTCTCCGCCACCATCGTCCTGGTCATTTGCAGCACAGAAGGGCCTTAGAGCTAGAAGACGATGTAGGGACGCGAGACAAGTCCGAACACGGCATATGTTGGCACCACGTACGTGGGGTTGAGGCCCGTTGACAGAAACGGGGCCAGTGGTAAAGAGCGAGTGTTTGCCGTTCCCAAGTTCAAACATATCACCTGTGTTAAACGCAAGGGAAGGCCTGGCTTCCTGTAGCTTACACCATCTGTCCAGCTCCAGTGTCTCTGCCCGGCCTGGTTTCTTTCATTCGCGCAGGGAAGGACAAGTCCCGCCGGTCCCAAAGCGCTTTCCTCCTGCACCTCAGGTTACATGGCAGCCAGCGACTCGTGAAACTAGCCGTCTTCATCTGCATGACTGGACTGCCATCAGCTGGGTGCCGCTCTGAAACTCGGGACCAGTAAATACCTTCCATGCTGCTCATGACGGCCCCTTCAACAAGCGAAGCGATCACGTGGACCTCCTCCCACTTCTTCATCAGATCCACACATTCAGCCGGTGTTGAGATGACGGCTGTTCCTCGTCAGCTAGTGGACAAACGTGGACATCGCTGATTGCAGAAGCTTCCAGGAAGGGACCTCCAAATTGTTCCTGCGGAACGTACTTTCGGATCACAGCTGCTCGAGTCTCTTCGTCGAGGCCATCCAAATACCTCCAGACCGCCAAGGAGGTCTCTGTGGGGCTCAGCTTGAAAGCACCCTTTTGCTCTGCTCGATGCTCTGCCTGTCTGAAGGCATGTGCACTGGCATGGGCATCTCCTCCGCACAGTCCGCCTCTGTGGCATTCTTTCAACAAGATTTCTCTCGCATGTGCATCCACCGTGACAACCTGTGCACATGTTTCGGGCCGGGCACAGAAACTTGGGAGAAGTGACTCAGGACATCCGCCGTCCATCGATCAATCTTAGCAAGGACCAAGCACTCTTTCCGACTTGCAAGCGGCTTGGAAGACGCTCAGGTTCAGACACATCTCAGCACCAACGGCGCCTCATGCCAGCAACTTCAGACTGTTTGGCCCTGCTGCTGCGCGTCCAAATTTCTGCCAAAACACCGCTGGATCCAATATGCGGCCACCGCCCACGGGCTCCTTCAAGTAGCAGCAACAGCAGCGACAGCAGCAGGCACTCTGCAGACTGGAGGAAAAGTGAAGACTGCGACAACAGAAGCATGCAGGGAAAGGCGGAGTGTCTTGCCACGATAGCACTGTACCGGGACGGGTCTGCATCAAATCTCTTCTGGACACGACGCGGGCAGCAGAGTAACAAAGCGAACGACAGCAAATGCAGACCAGATGTGAAGAAAAAACTGTACCCTTCCGAAGTGAGGGCGGCTTCAGGCAGACAGCAGATGAAGCAACTGACCACTGCTGCAACGAGGCAGTTGCGGTCCAGAATCTTCTGCAACACAGCTTCGTCCTCCACCAGGCGACACAATATGAAGGGAGAACGGAACAGCCTTGAAGAGCACAATCTCCTGCCTTGAAGCCTAACTCTCGAAGCGCTTCGCGTGCTAATGCCTGCACGTCGCATGAAGGGAAGAGGCTGCTCAACATTACCTGGATTCCAGACATGCTTGCGCATACCCTTTGTTTCTCCGCGGTGCCGCACTGTACATCTCCTGGGTTCTCTTACAGCTTCCGTTTTGTTTTGTCACAGGCGAAGTCAGTACCACCTGCAGCTGCCGCCGCAGCTGCTGCTGCCGCACTGCTGCCGGTACTGCTTGGAGCGTTGCGCCGCTGAGCGATAAGACTTCCCGATCCGGGACGTTGTTGCAAAGAGCAGGATGTTGCCGACGACGCTTTGCCGCACGAAAGACGGTCAGAACGGTGGACTGTGGAGATGTCGATTCACCTGTTGCACGACAGAACTGAGAGGCAGGCCGCCCCTGGCAAGTCACTGAGCCCTGCACGTCGTGCTCTCGTTGCCTTCCTTGCCCTCGGCGCAATCGGCGTCTGCGTCGCCCTGTGCAAGCGCAGCCTGTGCGCAGCAAACCATCGAGACTGCGCTCCGACTAAGCCTCGGCCGGCAAACTCAAGCAGTGTCGCCTCTGCCTTCTTTCGCCGGCGTCGTGCTCTTCGTGCCTTGTTGCTGCGAACTTTTTGGGCCTTGCGGCCAGCCTGCAGGTCTTCATTACATTTGGGCTGCTTGCGATTCTTCAGAGCTACTCTTTCCGTCTGCCTTCGTCTCCACTCCCAACACTGCTTTCTTATACCTTTCGGCACAGCGAAACCAAAAGATCGCAGCTGGCGGACACGGCTGCTGCTGCTGCCCGGGTGCAACTCTGCCAGGCGTCGGCGAGCTGAAACGCGATTTTCGAGCTGGGTTCGATGAGTCTGTGCCTTCACCTAGAGGCTTTTCAACTGGATAAGGGATCGCAATAGCTCCGTCAAGAACTGCACTTCCCTGGCCACTTCCAGCCTCAAGCCCTGTTGGTGTGTGCCGCAAGCGGACAGCGGTTTCAACCTGTCAGGTCCAGAAGAGGCACTCCTGGCACGTCATGGCTTTACATCAGGCCTTATTGACGTTCTGTCCACCAGGGCCAGCTGAACGGGAGAAGCTCTCTTCCAGGTCTTTGAGGTTCACTCCGAGCTCCTGGAGCTGCCTCAAACACTCCACTTCTGATGCCGGCGAACGGGGCAATCGCAAGGCTCTGCGCGCATCCGGGCCGCTGGTTGGATTTTTCGATGGATGGCCCTGCACTCAGCCGTGTTGCTTCAAGCCGACATCTTTCTCGGCCAAGCCCTGTGAACTGCACTGGCGCATATCCTTGCCATGCCATCACGCAGACCATGCCACTAAGTCACTAGAGTAGAGGTTCACAGCGAGGACAATCCCGGCAGTTTTAGCTTCTGAAGACTATGGGAGGTTGAAGTTCTTGTCACGGCTGAGGCCTCGCTGCAAGCAAGGTGCTATGTCGCGCAATCAACACCCAGAAGCCTCGGCCCCATGCAAGCTTTCGCGTTGTTGGACTGAGATACAAAAGACTCAAGACATGTCAACATGCCCATGCGTCAAGCAGCCCAGCACGGCGAGGCTATGTCTGGCTCTTGGCACTTGGCGCCACATGGGGAACCATAGGGTGTCGCCGTGGGCTGGCTTCTTGTGTTCAGCTGACAGGTCGTGTGAGCAGATGCTGGCATTTCACGACTTGAACACAAGTTGCGTTCTCCTATGTTGCCTTTGCCCGCTGTCGATTGATGGTTCTGTCTCAGATGCAGCGCTACAGAACTCAGAGATACTCAGAACTGAGCACAAAGTGTGCCTCCGCTTCTTGCCGCTCCAGGTCCATGGCAGCTACCGCATCGCGAAGTGCAGCTTTGGGCTCCTCAGGTGGACGTGGCGGATTGCGCGGCGCACGCCTTGTTGAAGATGAGTGAAACTCGAGGGCTCCTGCATCCTCATATGCGCGCTGCCTCTTCGACACAGGAGGACCGAAGCACCTGAAACCAGATCTAGGTCCAGGTGTCTCGACATCGCCGAATCTACTGAGGACCGCACGACTCTTGAATCCGTCACTGAGGCAATCATTGGCTCTCTTCATGGTGTCGATGCCATCCTTGCACAGCAGACGTCAATCTCACCGATGCTCTGAGACTTCCCAAGACTCCGGCAGTGAAGTGTCGGATCGCACCCTGCCAGTCCTGCAGGCCGACACGCACGAAACCCATAGAATGTCCTCACAACATCTCTGGCCTCTTTCTCCAACGCATTCTCCCCGTCGGCTTTTCTGTCATCTGCCGATTTGAAAAGAACTTCGTCCATGTTCAGGTGAACCCTTGGCTCGGACGGGGATTGGTGGAGACGCCGTAGAAACAAAGTGGACTGGAATCTCTTAGGTGCTGGCTGTACTGTTGGAATAGGTTCCTCACCTCCGAACCTAGCTTGTTTGCCACACGGTGTGCAGCTGCAAAGATGGCGTAGCGCTCTCTTTCCAGACAAGTCAAGGCCCGCCGTCATCAGACACAAATGGTTGCAGAATCATGCAGTTTGGTGAAACATTGCCGCGTGGTCGCAAATGACCACAGGCGGTGTAAGCCGAGTCCATGTGCGCGGGCGTCATTCTCTGCACGCGCTGGTAGCTTGCAGCTTGACTAAGCCATTTGTCGCTTCTGTCTGGACAGCAGGTTCACGCAGTTCCGCGAGAGTGCCTGAAGAAGCCTCAGCGCCGCCTCTTGGCCACCACGAATGCAAAGGTCAACAAGCAGGCCGTAGCTGGACGTGTCCTCAAGGAAAAGAGTCTGTGCAGAGGGTGCTGACCACCAGCGAGGGAACAAGCCGATGATTTAACCTTAAGGCTGCATTTCTTGCTGATTTTGCTTGGCCAAGTCGCCAAGCTTCGCGAGGTGGCCATGTCTCGCAGCAGCACTAGGCCTTGCTTCCAACGTACCATGCTGCTGAGGGCAGAGTTGTAAGCGATGACCTGGGTAGGGCACTTGGCTCAGGGCTGACTCCCCATGCATCTGTCCTTCCTCAGAGCGTGGCATCCAGGGTCATCTCCTTCTGCAGACACAGAAGCTGAAGCACCAGCGGCCAACTCGCCTCCGCGACTAAACCCTGCAACTTTCCATCTCAAAATCTGCAGAAAGCTCATATGACTCATATGGCTTAACACTGCTTAACACCTGCCTTGCTGTAAGAGGCCAGGAGCGCATTCCCCGTGGCGAGCATCGGCTCCAATCCTGCGAGAGGCTCACAGCCAGGCGGTTGCAATTCGCCCAACCGCGGCTTTTTGTTTACAGAACCAACGAATCGCAAACATCAACAAAGGTAGCAAAGATAAGAATATGGCCGTAATCTAAGAATACCAACATCCACTCAGTTTAACACGTGGCGCTCTGAAACTTGAGATCGCAACAACAGGAAATCCGAACACTGAGAGGTGTGGAGATCAACATGTCCAACACCACCTACACCGAACCCTCAGCACGAGCTGAGTCACATCTGCCGGTAGGCAGCTGTACAAGTCCAGACGGGCAGGATTCGGGTGAGTTCCCGGCTGTGAACATGGTTTGCTTCAGTCTCGCACACAACTTCTGCAGACTGCCTCTCTTGTGGCAAGGGCAGCCTTTTCGTCAACCCACGCTGCGAGAGCTGAGGCGAGATACTGATTCTGTCACATCGACGACATGCTTTAACGAAATCCCGACACTCGACAGTCCAAGCACAAACGGTGGGCCCTTGCGTAGTTTCACCGCAACTCGTCTATATATAAGCTGAAGAATTTGAAAGTTTCCATGAGACGGACGTGAAGCATTTCTGCCGAGCACTCCACTGCAGGAAGAGCCGTCAACCACGGGCTGCCGTTATGCCGACCTTTTCGGGAGGCTCGGCGCTCGCCCCTTTCTGCGAGGGACTTCATGCCCCATTTTGCAGGCCCCATTGTGGGTCGTTGCGAGTTGCTTCTCCGTTTCGTGCGTTCGGAAGGCCAAAGCACCAACTGCTGCGGCTGGCCCAAGACTTTAAGAAGTTGAGCCGCTCGGTTGGTTCGTTCCGTGTTATGTTGTTGGCCTGAAGCCTGCTTCAAAGTGCGACCGGGCGCTAGGGTCCTGCCGATCTTGCTTGCGAAAGCAAGACCGTGGCTCCTCTCCACCGCCGATTCACGGCCTGGGCGCTGATGGCCTGAAATGACGGGACTTGGCTGCAACGCCCGGTCGAATGTCTCGGCCGTGTGCATCTGTGAACCCAAGGCACGGCATCTAGGACCACAGTATCAGCCGCAACTTCCAGAGACCTCCCCACAGGCTTTGCATAAAGCCATGTGCTTCTTGGAGCTTAGCTGTGCCACTAGCACTCAAAGGCCCTCCTACCCTAGGGCCCCAGCTTGGCAGAATGGTACAGGTTGGCCGAGATTTGCCAGCGTAGGCACTTGTTACCTGCAAGGTCCAATCAACACATGGGTTGCCCAGCAGCTTGCAGGCATGCCAGCCTGCGCTCATCAAGGACCCAATGCTTACCGCATCCATCCTTCCCAACCTCATGAGTCCGGCGCACTACAATGACAATGCACTGTGTGTCAACAAGAATGGAAATCTGCTTCATCTACAGTGGTAACGCAATCTGCGTCATCTGCGCCGTGGCCAAGTGGCCACTGCTGCGCCGTCTGCATTGACGCCAGCCATTGCTGGCCCCAGTCCAGAGCATTCAGGCAGGAGTTGACCAGCCCGCGATCAGTCCTGCAAGGACTATAAGGCAGGAGCTTTCGGCACACGGGCAAAAGTACGAAGGCATGTCTGCTCACTATTGACTCGTGTGATGCACGCCTGATTCCCCGCAGAGGAAGCTGGCCAAAGAAGACAACAGCCTCAGATCGAAACACCGGGAAAGGACCTTCATGGGTCAAACAGTGCTCACATGCCTGTCCAACCGTCCGACCAGGATGCCCTTTCCCAGAGCCAACCCCGGGCAAAGGCATTCGTAGCAGCTGTGGACGACACGACGTCGAGTGCCATGTCCTTCCGACTAGATTTCTGCAGCGAGGGTGTCACTATGGAGTGTGGCTTCCAAACTTAAGCATGTGTATGAAATCTTCAACCAGGACTCGATTCTGGACGCAGCAGACAGTAGGCCGCATATCTGACGCCACAGGCCAGACTTTTCGCAGGCGCTGAGGCCTGCATTGAAACCTGTGGCAGCGCAAGATCTAAACAAAGAGGCATCCGAACAGTCCACGTGCAAGCGTGCTGCTTATGGTGTTCGGCTGCAGACCCAAATGCGGCATGGACCAAAGCAGACCTGGACTCAGGTTCACACAGAGCGGCAAGTTAGGCGATTGGTTCAGATGTCGAGAAGCGCGTGTCATCCTTTGCACATGGCATGGGAATCCGCTCTGCGACGTTGCAAACATGCCACATCATGACTTATTTCGTGCTATTTCGGTCCCGGGCCATTCCGAAGTTGAACAACGCATGTGCTGGATTCAAAACGCTTGTGTGTTGCTCTGATCAGAGCCCAGTCGTAGCGTATGAGGAACGTACTAGGGGGTTAGGCACCCTGGGCAGCATGTGGACACGCTCGCGTCACAGCCTTTCTGTGATGCACCTGCTGCAATTTCTGTCAGAATTCGGGTGACGTTGCCCTGTAGAACTTTTCGTCCTTCGGCAACGCACACAGCTTTGACAAAAGGCGTTGTTGCACATCCGGTGGTTAGAGCGATAAAGTAGTCTAAGCTTTGTAGCACGAGAGGTGGTGCACACCTCTCGCCACCGCTGCTTAAGCATGGGAAAGTGGATAGTGCCGTCCGGCCCGGAAAAATCGCGAGAAAGCTGCGCTGGCAATATGAAAAAATGAGGACGGGACCAACTGACTTCGTCCACTGCCCTCCCTTCTCACAAGCACTGACGCAAGCCTCGGCTGAAGTTCAGCAACTCGCAGATCTGCATAGGAAGGCATCACGTGCAGATGATGTAGACGCGGCGCGGTATGAGAGACGAGGTCGGACTGAAGTTTCTCAGAAACTTCTCGTAGGACACGGAGAGCTCCGATCCACTTCGCCGACTTCTCACATGCAGTGATTGCCTAAGACGGAACTCCGTCTGATGCATCGCGTGGAATGTGAAAACTCCCTCGGCTCAGGCTTAGCGCCTGGCTCCGTTATAAAGAAAAGCATCCGGGTGAAGGGAAGTCGACCTTGACTCGAGGACCGACAACTAAAGAATCTCACACAGGACCCGAACCCCAGCGTTGCCCTGAGAGACCGGCCGCATCTTCGGCAGAAGCCAGAATGACCAATTCCAGGACCGTGCCTTCTCACAGGCTGCCATGGCGGCCATGAACGCGACAACGTCAAGTTGGACACCTAAGTCAAGTGCAACGCGAGCTATGTCTGCTTGGCTTCCGGGTGCTCGACTGAGCTTCCAACTTGTGGCCCATGTCCCCGCCAGAGTCGCACATGCTGCGTTCCACAGGAGACCTTTCTCCAAGGAGCTGATCGAGGCGGTGAGAGAGATCAGGCTGGGTTGGAGCGATGAAGGCCTCAGATCGGAGTGGGACCACATCTGCACTGGAAGGCTCCAAAAGCCACCTCGGGACCGAGCAGAATCTGTCTTGCAAGGTCCACGCCCTCCTGCCAACGACGACTTCTTGCCGCAGCTGTAATTGCGGCATTGACCGCAGCCAGCTGGCGATTGACCTGCGGCGAACAACGAGACTTGCGAAAAACTTCGCCTAGCCAAAGTAGCAAGCGGCACGGGCCTTGCAGGCTGCATGCATGTAGCCATGGGTTGCCTTCGGACACGCTGACGGTCAAGGAGTCAAGCGCTACTTTGGCTTTGCAGGAAATGATCTCAAGCCGGTGCATGCACGGTCCTTTGCAACCACTCCCAGGCACAGCGAGGCATGGCCACAGACACAGTTTCTGCCAAACTACACACGAACCAGCCAGAACTCCAGCATGACTCGGATTAAGTATGAGCATGAGGTGCTAAACTGGCATATCAGGATCTCACCTTTGTGGTGCTCAGCTGCTGTCAGGCGCTGCTAGTGACTGCTAGTGTGGATGCTGGCCTGCAGCGCCTTCTTAGAGATCTTCACGCACTGGCTGAGGGCGGTTTAGTAGCGAGCGACTTCAGCAGCGATTGTGGAAACGGAGGTGAGCTGCTCACAGGTTGCAAAGCCGAGTCCGGCTTAGCAAGAGTGCAGCAAGGGCCAGGCTTCTTCCAACCCGAAGCAGGAACCGCCAGGGATTCCGTTGGAGCCTGTAATCGAGCTGTCGTTCTGGCTGCACTGTGATACTTACGAACAAGTCACTAGCAAGAACCATCCTCTGAGTCTGTGGCTCCATACAAAGGACGGCCTCCTTGACCCAGAAGCCAGCCGTGCTGCGACAGGACGAAGCATCGTGGAAAGTCTCGACTCAGGCTTGAAAATCACGTTGCCGCCCAGCCTTAATCGCACCTGTCTTCCTTGCCATGACAAGGCAGGTCGCCGTGCAAGTACGGCTACATGACTCCAATCTTCAGACCTAGTGTCGGATTTTTGTGAGGCTCGCGGGTGATCTTCAAGTCTTGTCCACGCTCAACATGCTCGTATACCTGTCGGGGTTGCCTGTGACCTTGCCCATGTCTGTGCAAACGAGCCGTGCGCACCGGTGCATCGCAGTATTCTCGACCGGTCGCCTTGTAGATGCCATTGGCGTCCTGGGCAGAAAGGCATGGACGCGAAGCGACCAACGAAAATCTGAGTTGCAAGTGTTGACTGAAGAGCGTCGACGCACCTTTTCTCAAGGACATGCAGGACTGTCGTGCTAGTAACAGTGGATCTCCCGCCAAGCTATGCACGGCCCTTCAGGGCGACCCTTCTGCGCAGTTGATGAGACCGAGAAACGGAGAAAATGAGAAGAGCATGCAGCTGGAAATGCGTGTAAGATGAACACAGTTTTATCAGTTGCAAGTGCGCAGCTACTTTCTGCAAAGCCCATGAAGCAAGGGACGGGGAAGACATTTGCGATTCGCAAATGGAAATCATTAGCGAGTGCTTCAGCCGATGCCGGCACTTCAGGCCAGTGTGTCATGTTGACACCGCGACAACACATCTGCAAGCCGATCGGCAATCAATGCAAATGTTCACGAAGAGTCATCTATGTGTCGTCTATGTCATTTTCCCAGACTCGGAGAGCTTGAACGTGTCTGGGTCAAATGCTCCCAGTTCGCGGGCTGCAGCAGAAGGGCCCTCCTGCTGCACCTGGTTGGGACACCTTGCCCCCACATGGCACGAACTAAAGAGCGCATAGAAGCAGCATCCGGTACGGTGACGAAAGCGTAGCCGCGATTTCTCCCACTCTTGTTCAATGGCAACGAAAGCTGGAACTCGCAGGCTGCAGAGATTCTCACCAATGCCTCAAGCTCTTCATACGTGCACCTTGCTGGGATGCTTCGGATCATGAGTTTTGATGTACGGTTCCACAGAGGGTCATCGGGGTGCAAACCATGTGCGCTGTGCCAGCGAATCTTTGAATCTACGTGCTGTTCGAGCTGTGCTTCCGACTTGGAGGGAATGGATGCCGGTGTCGAGCACCAGCCTTCGCAGTAGATCTCTTCATTCTTCTCGGCAATCTGTGGCCACGAGCATGATCGTTTCATCGCCGGCATGACCTGCACCATCTCCAAGAAAGTCTTCGATACCAGGACATAAGTGCCTTCTCGACCTCTCATGTTCCAAGAGCCGGAGCTCATGCTGTGCATGTTGGAGCGCAGCCACAAAGGGCAAGCGTGCAGGGAGCACCTACATTGCCTCGAGGCTTTGAGCAGTCATACCGGAGCGGAACGGAGCAGCTAGGTCAGAATGAAGAGCACGCTGCCAAAAGAAGTGGCTCAAGCGACAGCCCTGGACAGTTGAGGGAGGAAGGAAGTGCACGTTTTCAATGACTGAGAGACCGGGAAAAGAAGGCAACTCCGAAGAAAGACCACAACGAAGAAACGACGGTGACCAGGCTTCGGCTAAAGGAGACAGTGTGCAAAAGCCCCACGAAGGACAAGAAACGGTCATGCATGCGGCACACCTGCACACACAGGCACAGCTCCAAGGAAGACAGATGAAGAGCAGAATGAGCAGAATAACCTAACGATCAGCCACCACACCAAACCGTGTGGTGATGAGGAAAATCTCGTGTCCTGAACGCCCGCATCCGAGATGACCAAAGCCTCCCACAGGATACCCAAAGCATACCAGCAGCCACATCTGTTCTGCCAGTGAGATTACCGGTGCCTGGGGCAGGTCGCTAAGGGTCATGACTGGCGAAGCTCGCGCTTGCACATTCACTGTGCTGACTATTGTCTACCGAACTGCTAACACTGCTACGTAGCGAGGCTGATCTGATCCAGACACAGGCTTTGATTGGCAATGAACCTTATTCGAGACTGCATGGTTGGGCCAACGCTGCATGTCGAACCGGCATTCAATGGTGGGAGCCGACGGCTCTCGGCGCAAGCTGGATACGTGACTGTTGTTCGGTGCTCAATGGACAGAAGGGCAGGATTTCGTCTGCCACAGATTCTGCGAGTCAGCAAAGCGACCAGCATCCGATCCACGCACGATGCTCAAGGCTCCAAAACGACACACCAAGTCATGGCAACCCATATCGTTGCAAACCTCATGGGGCATCATAACCCGACTGCTTTGGCACGCCATAGAACAGAATCAATGCTAGGTCTGTATCATCGCAGCCGGATGCATGGTAAAACAGCCAACAAAGGCCAACTTCGAATTCGCTTATGCATGCAAAAAGTATGGGTACCTCCGAGCAAGAAGTAACTGAGACGGAATGCAAGCTGCAGGGCACCCTACACAGGGAAGGCACAAGCCAAGTGTTGGAGCCGCAAGCTCCGGAAGGCTGAAACGTGCAGGCAATTCACTTGCAGATTAAAGGTTGCTTTTATGAAGTTCGCCTGAACCCGACAGGGTCTTGCAGAACGGCTGGAGTTTGACTGCAAACTTTGCCAAGGTTGTCCATTCAGAGTTCCCGAGAAAGATCGCAGTCGGATCTGTCGAAGCGGACCTTGTGGCTTCTGCACGAGATCGAAACTCTTTCACACAGCATGTGCGCATCCAACCTTGGTGCTTCGTTGGTGCCGTTCATCAGGCTGCAGCGTGTTGGTTTCCACCAACCTCTCAAACTGAAACCAAACCTCTAGTGTCAGGAGTCAGGACCAAACTCCTCCACAAACCCGTTTCCAACCTAAAGCGGTGCCCTCTGTCCTAGACGATATTCAGATAGGCCTCGACGGGCACAGTATGCTTCTCGTCCGAGATCGTGCTGGCTCCTTTTGTGTGCTCGTGGTGCAGGACACGCGACGAGCAGCAGCCGTGCCATGCTGTCCTGCCCATGCAGACCTGTCCGAGAGCCTCCCATGGCAGCCTCGCGCCTGCCGGATGCAGAAAAAACGCCGAAGGAGTGATGACGGAGTGAGGGAGTGAGGCAGACAGGAAGCGAGGGAGGCAGGAACAAAGGGGCACTGGAAAACGCCAGAAGCCCACTTCGTCAGAGCCTAAGTAGACCTGTCGAAACAGTGCAGTGGACCTCCTGTACCGCTTCGCATTTCGACACGCCCAGCATCCACAAACATGTCGAAAAAGCCTCCACAGGAGTGGGGCGGGGGGGGGGAGGGGGTGAAACGGGCTTCAGATGCACCAATTCGTCAAGGCGGCCAAAGGAAGGATCCGGCATCTTCAAGTGGGCCAAGAATCATGAGCAAAGGCCCAAGGAAGACGAAGGTGTAGAGCAAGGACCTGAGCTCCGCACAGCCGGTTGCACAGCTGCAGTGCTCAAGAATCGTTTTTGGCCGGGCCCTTCGCAAGATCGTGTTCGCAACCTGGGAGCGGAATGAGAAATGCGTGAAATGAGAAATGCGTGAAATAATCGCAAGCTTCGTCTCCTACACGCATCTGGTGCTCCTTCAGAGCTCTTCGCGAGAAAGCCACGCCAGGCCGAGAAGCTAGCATCGTCCCAAGCTTCACGAAGAGCAAGATCCGGCACGGCAGCAGGAAAGCCGTTGCAGCAGCTGTGGTGAGGGCACCGCCCAAGATGGAGGGCCCAAGATTCACGAGCGTCAACTGTAGCTTTTCCTCGTCTAGCGGTCTAGCGACAAAAGGCTTTTTTGGCATCAGCAGCCGTGGGATCGAGAAAGCATACGATGACGTGTGCTGAAGGTTGCGGCAGTCGTAACACCCTCTCCTGAATTGCAGTGTGCCGATGATTTTTGTTGCCTCC